ATTAGTTGGTTTACGAGTTGCCACACAAACAGCAGAATTTGCTCTTATGCGCGCGAATTCTTGACAAGATTTTTTGTTTTTACTGATTCTACGTTACTACATCTAATATTTTGCTTTTTCGTGAATCCAAGTATAATACAAGTACAAGACAAGATTAAAATGTTGTTACTTCGAGTCAGCAAATCAGAATACGAACACGTTACGAGTGGCTGTGAATGGGTTGGCGAGGGAACTATTGACTGGACGCTTGTTTAAATTTCAGTAACTTACAACTAGAACTGTTTTATATCAACTCACGCAAACGATTTTCAACAGTACCACTTCAACTTGTTGCGCAGCATTACACGAGATGACCACGTCAGCTACCCAACAGGAGGCGCGTGAGCTGCACGACATCGTCATTGCAAATATATAAACTGCAACTTCAAGTACTTCTATATATTGTATAAATTGCAATATGTAGGAGGACAGTGCAAATTATCATAGCGTGACGGGGTTTTGAAAGCTATTGATGATAAATTATAGCAAGATTAGGAATCCGCACGAAATGAAGATTTACACCTTGCTCACAAAGCACCGCTGAAATACCATGTCTATTGAAAATCGCTTGCTTGATTCGATTCGAAACGGTTATAGCTAGTGAATTTTATTTTCCTCGCCAACCCACTCGTAACGTGTTCGTATTCTGATTTGCTGACTCGAAGTAACAACATTTTAATCTTGTCTTGTACTTGTACTTGGATTCACGAAAGCAACATATTATATGTAGTAACGTAGAGTCAGTAAAACAAAAAATCTTGTCAAGAATTCGCGCCCATAGGAGCAAATTCTGCTGTTTGTGTGGTAACTCATAAAACCAACTAATTTGTGGATGGTGCCAGATATGTTTCAGTTGTCGTTGAGTTCTCCGCATTTCCTACGCATGAAATGGTCGCACAAAGTGTGCGGTAAAACCACTGAACGGTCATGACGTTAAGTGATATGCACCCATTGGCCGGGGTACACAGATCACTTTACACGGGAAGTAAACGTGGACGCAACCGTGAGATAACGTGGTACTTACGCATACAGTTATGTATCGTCAGAAAATCAACAGGTTGCTGTTTTATCAAGAAGCAAGATCATCATTTTTCAATTTGCTTGCAACTGGAAATACCACCTCTTCACCCCAATCACAGCTCCCCACTCTGCCAAGGATGATGAATTCACTTGTCTCGTTGCTGGTGTATGTTCAAACATCGTGGCGATTGACAAGCAAAACAGCACTGAATCAGACTCTGATTTAGAGCGCTGATTCAATCAGGTGTTGAAGTGGTACTATTCCTAATACCGGTACAATCCAAATACCGGTACAATCCGCCTGACTATACCGGTATTAGAAAAAGTACCACTTCAATACTTTTGGCTAATCACGTAGTGTAGTTTTTCAGCGAATGAGATGCCGGTAATCTGAGAAAAGCGTCCCCGTCATCTCCAAAACCCCGTCAACATTTGAGTCCGATTATGCAGTAGAGCAACAATGCCTTGAACAGTGAATTTGTATTAGTGTAGCTGCTACAGTATCAACCTGGCACACGCCGAATCCGGGATGATTTCAACTTCGAGGCGCCGGACCGGTGCTGCATTCACAGTTGCGTTTCCAAAGGGCGGACGAATCTTATATTGAACCGCGTCAGCAGCCAATCCGTGTCGAGAATGCTTGATTACTGGCCAATCATGTTCGTGCTGAGAATTGTTGATGGGTGCACGACCTCTTTTTAAGCCCTTAATACTGCGCATTGGATGGACTTTTGTCTATAAAAAATACACTTGCATTATTTAGGCTTGGTTTATAAACAGTATAAGTGCAGAAATGAGCCATATCCAAGTATCCGCTTGTTAAAAAGTGAGACAAAACTGTTTCTAACTAAAACAACGAGTCTATTCGCTACCATTTAATACAAACTGTCGCAAGTTGTCTAATCCGATGCGGTTTAGATAAATCGTCGGGATTTGCGCTGCTTGGTGGTCATTATGTTGATGCAAACAACGCTGAGAGCGCAAGATGACGGGCCACGGCTGCTTGGTCCAGTTTGGCACTTTCGGCTATGCTCTCACAACTCAAACGCCGATTTTCCCGACGCAGCAAGATCCACGGAGAAGACGACGACTTCCCCATGAGCCTCTCGAACAGCAACAGCGCCAGCTCCCTGCCCCCCGTGGACGAGCACAACGCCTGCGAGTACCTGGATACGGCGCTCACGGTCTTTGTCATCGGCGCGTCCGGCGACCTGGCCAAGAAGAAGACGTACCCTTCACTCTTCGCGCTCTACACCATGGGCTACTTGCCCGAGCACGTCGTCATCGTGGGCTACGCACGCAGCGCCAAGAGCGACGAGGACTTCCGCACGCAGATCGCAGCGTGGATCAAGCCCAAGACGCCCGAGGGCGAGACCCGTAAGACCGCCTTCCTCTCCAAGTGCATCTACCGCAGCGGCAACTACGACTCGGCCGAGGACGTGGGCAAGGTGAGCAAGGAAATGGAGGCGCTCGAGGAGGCCCAAGGCTCGCCTGTGGCCAACCGCCTCTTCTACTTCGCCATCCCGCCCACTGTGTTCGTGCCTATTGGCACCAGCATCAAGAAAGCGGCGCTCACCACTCGCGGCTGGAACCGCCTCATTGTGGAGAAACCTTTCGGCCACGACCTCGACTCGTTCGACAAGCTGTCGAAGGACATGGGCGCGCTCTACGGAGAAGACGAGATCTACCGCATCGACCACTACCTCGGCAAAGAGATGGTGCAGAACCTGCTCGTGTTGCGCTTCGGCAACGCCATCTTCGAGCCCATCTGGAACCGCAACTACGTCTCCAGTGTGACCATCACCTTCAAGGAGGACATTGGCACTCAAGGCCGCGGTGGCTACTTCGACTCGTTCGGTATCATCCGTGACGTCATGCAGAACCATCTGCTCCAGGTGCTGTCGCTCATTGCCATGGAGCCGCCGGTGCTCGCTGCCGGAAAGGACTACTCCAACTACATCCGCGATGAGAAGGTCAAGGTGCTCAACTGTATTGAGCCTATCAAGCTGGAGAACACTGTGCTAGGCCAATACCAGGGCGACAAGTCTCGTAATGAGCCGGGCTACCTCGAAGACCCGACTGTGCCCAAGGGATCAGTGACGCCCACGTTCGCCACGACGGTCATGTGGGTGAACAACTCGCGCTGGTCTGGTGTTCCATTCATCATGAAGGCTGGCAAGGCTCTGAACGAGCGCAAGGGTGAGATCCGCGTGCAGTTCCGTCCGCCTCCTGGAGCGGAGCACATGTTCCCGGGTGTCAAAATCCCCGTGCAGGAACTGGTGCTGCGTTTGCAGCCGGAGGAGGCTGTGTACATGAAGATGAACGTGAAGAGCCCCGGTCTGCAGACCCAGGCGATCTCGAGCGAGCTGGACCTGTCCTACGCCGAGCGCTACGAAGGCGCAGAGGTTCCGGACGCGTACACTCGTTTGATCCTGGACGTGCTGCGTGGTAAGCAGGCTGCTTTCGTTCGTGACGACGAGCTGCGTGCTGCCTGGAAGATCTTCACGCCGCTGCTGAACGAGATCGAGGGCCAGAAGGTGAAGCCGCTGCCGTATGCGTTCGGCTCGCGTGGTCCCAAGGAGAGCGACGATCTGGTGAACAGGGTGGGCTTCCAATACCACCACGGAGCGTACCAGTGGCAGCCCCGTTCGCGCACCACCAGTGCGCTCTAAGCGTCTCTCTGTTCAGCGAGGCAGCCGAGAATTGCCAGTTACCTCGAGCATAAGTATGATGGTGAGCTAGCTAGTCTACAGTAAGTTGTTGTAGTTGCATCCGCTCGATAAACCAAAACATGACAAGAATTTATGACATCCTTCGAGCAGTATCAATGTAGCCACGTGATAAATGGCTACATTTTTATAAATCAAATGAGCCAATCAGATTCGTTTTATTTTAAACGTTCAAATCCAAAAGCCTAGCAGAATGCTCTCCATTGAGCAGTTGTTGAGTCCTGCGAACATGCCCGAAGTCTGCGCCGCAAAGCTTGCGCTCAAGGTTGAAGACGAGGCTACTGCTGCTGCAGCTGCAAAATCTGTTAAGCTGAAATCGGAGACGTCTGAGAATGACAACAACACTTCAAGTGCGTCGTCTTCGGACGGGGAGACGACCAAAATGTTGCAAGAAGCGCAGAAGAAAGTGTTTTTCTCCAGAAATCTAAGAAGTAAGACCATCGCCCCCTTGCCGCCTCGTCGTAGCAGTCGCAAACGACGTACAGTGGACGTGCTGAGTCCGTCCCAGAACACTTCGACCGGTCGCAAGTCTCCGAAGAGACAGAACTTGGAGAGAGTGGGGGTGGAGAATCTACTGAATGCGCGTCCTGCTGCAGCGGCGGCAGCTGCAGCTCGTGCGAAAGTTGCAGCGAAAGAGAAGAGGCAGAAACGAGCTGCGATGAAGAAGAATGCAGCGAAGAATGGCAAGGACAAGACACCCAAGGGAGTGTTGTCTCCTGTTCAGGACGAGAAGAAGAAGACGCCGACGAAGAAACGCAGCAGCAAAGCCAGACGCTCGTTGGAGCCAGCGTACTCCCTCGAGTCAGAGACCAAGTACGTGAAGGACCTCATTGAGGAGCTCTATGAAGAGCAGGAACAAGATGACCGCGGAATGTACAGCATCACTAAGGAGACTGTTGTCACGGAGACGAGCTCGTGTACACGGTCCCAGGAGGTTGACGACTTGAGTATGGAGGATTTCCGACGATTGATGACGTATGGAGAAGTCACCGTCAAGTCCTTCGCCAAGACTGTCCTGCCCATGCTCAACTTGGACGTGGACGACGTGTTCTTTGATCTTGGATGTGGCACCGGAAAGATATTGGTCCAAGCAGCTCTTCAAACCTCATGCAAACGAACAATTGGCATCGAACTCATGCAGAATCGTGTCCAGGAGGGACACAAGGCGTTGAACCGCTTGAAAGAGCGTGATGTCCCGGTACTGAAAGGCAAGCAAATTGAGATCTTTCGGGGCGACATTTTTGTTCCGCCGGAGGAAGCTCAACTGATGGACGCAACTGTGGTTTTCATCAATAACGTGATGTTTGGCCCGCAGCTCATGTTGAAGGTGTTGCAGCTTCTCAGTATGATGCCGAAGTTGCGCTGTGTGATGACGCTTCGCAAAATTTGCGAACGTCATGGCCATGAAAAGTGTATGCGAGCTGGAAACTACTGCACCGCGTACGTCCAACCACCTCAAGAAGAAGAGATCGATGTGTCGTGGGCTGACAAAACCTCAGTGTATCTCTATGAGAACATCGACTACAAAATTCAGGAAATGAACCGAGAGCTAGCAATGCGGGGTTACTAGCCAACAGGTGCCACGTCCGAGTTCTGTGCTCGAGTCACATTGTAGCTATTGCCCCAATGTCGTGTTCAACTACGCGAAGAAACTTCAATAGCCCCTTTCCATCTGCATGAGGCGGAACGAAACGGGTATGCATTTGAATTAGTGAGTACATGTAGATCTGTCAAGAGAATAGAGTATGCATAGCGTTGCTCACCTTCATGACGGCAGTGCATGGTTTGCCTGTTGCATAGTATCACCACCGATAATGAAATACTGCTTTCGAATACTTCGGTTGGCAACATAACACTTGCACCTGTCGATTCCTTCGGTTAGCTGTCCGATACACAGCAACTGCTTTCTTGCTTCTTGGGAATTTGTTCTCTAACGAATGGATCCCTTCAAAAAGCGAAATACTAAGTTATCATGACGCTGACATTACAGATGGGTAACCAGTTTTGATGAGAGCACTCCGTTGAAGTGCTGTCGAATATCCTGGTTAACAAGGTCAAGCACACGGTTAAAACCGTGCTTCAACAGGTCCGCGAGCTCCACAGGTGTGGTTTCACCAGAACATTTACGACGAACGAAGCGAAGCATCCGCAACACCTTATCCAGCGTGCGATGCTCCACCTCGACCAAAATGCGCGAGTAGATAGCATCGAATGCAGCCGACTGCGTCGTAGTTCTGTCGACATCGCTTTCATCAGGAAGTGTAGAACCCTGAAGATTCTCAACTAGCTTCGTGAACAGGTCTTCAATCGTCGGAAGAACAACAGGTGGCTGTTTCTCTTTAGCTGCTTGACTAGGGCTGTTTTCCGACGCAGCTATCGGTTTTGGAAGAGAAGCAACTGTTGAAGTGGGTCTGCGCTTCTTCGCATATCGATCAATCTCTCTACGAATCACTAATGGCAGCGAATGATAGACTTCTACATCAACTTGGGACATCCGAATATCATTGAGCGCGTCCTCTTTTCCCGAATCTCCTCTACCTGAAGTGTGTGCGGTACGAGCGAGCCGACTATTAGACTTAGAATCGAATATGTTTCGTGCTGGGTGTCTTCGACGCATTGGTGCTTTTCCATTGGGTTTTCGCTTTGGTGCAGGCAGGCGTTTTGTCTGCACAGCAGGTGCACCTCGACCATACGAAGCTAGGATTTCCTGTTGAAGCTTGTCGGGTAGTTCTTCCAGTACCCCCATATCAATCTGCGATAAAGTTGTAGCGGCGAACTCTCTCCTATTCGTATTCGGTCTTTGTTCGTCCTCAGTCTTCATTTCATCGTTCTCTGGTTCACTTTCGTGTTCTTGGTTCGCTAAAGTGCCATTCCCCGATTGCTGTACAGAATCTTGTAGCCACGCCTTGAAAAGCTGACCACTTCGTTGGTTAGCGCTTGGAGTATCCGAAACCAATTTGGTAGCCTGCACGCCAACTCCTCGGAGCTCTTCGCTAGGAAAATTCATTTGCCGCAGGAGCTCGATACATACCTTGCCGATCACAACCTCGTCGTCCGTCGGTTGAGCCAGCACTTGGCTTTTGGAAAAATTATCACAAATACCATGACCCATGAACTTTGACGGCTCGATAGGAGCACCTTCCGCGCGTTTTTTAATCAATAACGTGAGGCATTTCGCCTGCACCTTCAAGTTCCGAAGACGATGGCTAAGTTCCTCACCCAGCGCTATTAAAAACACAGTCGCATCTTCCCAATTCTCGAACCGAATACCAAAATTCACGACTGCAGACACACTCTTTCGCATCATGTTTGACGCCATTGACAACCGACGAGTATCAATTCCTCGCGCATAATTGTACAGCATTTCTCCGGCCACTTTACCTAGAGCTTGCACCAGTTCTCCTTTCGATTTGAGTACCAATTGACAAACATCCTCGACTCCCAGAGCTTCGAACTTCACCCCCGTCTTATACCCAACTCCAGGCAAGTCGCGGATCTTGAGTGATAACACAAACTCTTCTGCTTGACTTGGGTCGGCAATTTGGTAGATCCCATCCGGCTTAGCCTTCTTCGAGGACAGTTTTGCCAGAAGCACATTAAACGACACACCGACACTAGCAGGGCATCCAGTTTGCTCAAAAATCTCTTGTCGAATACTCTTCGCCATCTCCAACCCATTGGTCCCTTTCCCAAACTCTAGAAATGCTTCATCGCAGCTCACCGCTTGCACATACGGAGTATGCGAGAAGAAAATATCGTAAATCTGGAATGAAACACGCTCAATAGCGTCGAATTGGTAAGGCAGAACAACCAACTCGGGACACAACTCTTTTGCTGTCTGCATGAACATGCCAGCGCCGACACCTTTGGCGCGCGCCATGTAATTACACGACGAAATTTCAGATGACCCAGCATTTCCCGAGTGAGCAACAGCAACCGGCACTTTCTCCAATTCATTTCGACCACGTACAGCTACCGCAACGAAGAAGCAATCCATATCCACATGAAGAATTACCCTATCACTTGACTTAACTGGAGCTCTCGTTACTGGTGCACCTTTGTATTTTGCTTGGAACTCCGCTGCTTTCTGTTGGAACGTTGTTCGCCACGTTCCAATGTGATGCAACCGAGATTTGGCGAAAAAGTGGCGGACAAATTCCGGACCATCTTTCGTCGAATTAGTCCGGAGTTTAGAACTTGCAGCATTATTCATTTCTGCTAGTAGAGACACTGGTGGGTCCTCTAGATCCGAGTCGTCCTCTTCAGCTAAGATATCCAACTCCTCTATCTCCATGTCAGAATGTTTAGACGCATGATCTGCAGCTCGTTTGGTTTCCACTACAACAGGACTGTCCTTCCCTGAAGATAATGACAAACTGAAGATGCTCTCTTGTGTTGGGTCCGCAAAGCCCGCATACAAGAACGACTGCAGAGGTAACAACTTCTTCTGCTCAACACTTTGCACGATCCAGTCTGGATGCACCACTGGAAGTGGCTTCTTTGCTTTCCTGCGGCAATGTGGTCAATGAAGAGTGATGGTCAACTTCAACTTCAACTTTCACTTACTTAAGTTGCAGCAACTTGGACGCAGGGAGATGAGTTGCGATAACGTGCGTCACGCGGTTCGTTTCGTAGTGTTCGAACCCGCCTCCATGCAGCAACATAAGCTGTCGAATTTCTTCCTTGCTGGGAATCGTGTAGCCATCCACGTACACATGGACATTCTGGAAGAGCGCACTAACTCCATTAGGCGACGCGAAGCTTTCGTTCTGCCCTCTCAGCTTCTGGATCTTGTGCGACATGTACACGCCGAAGCTGCCGTCATGGTGTTCGCCCACGCGCTTCCTCCCGACGCCGTGTGCTTGGCGTCGCATCACTTCTTTTCATCCAATCGCTTGCTCATTCCCATACGTACTTGTTAAACGCCTTTCATTGGTGTAAAT